GTACTATGGACTGAGCTATCTCTCTAACCCTTCCTTATGATCTTTATACACCGTGGAGGACATGCGGGGTTAAGGGGGGGCTGCCAGTAGCCTAAAGAGCAAATGAAATGGTTGAAGGGTTGTACCTAGCCTCTGTTCACCCGGTGCCTATCCTGCCGAGAACCCTTCTGTAAGCCCTGGAAATAAGGATATAGCTGCTCCCTTAGCAGAGGGAGAAGCATGCTGGGTACTGAAGTAGGCATGCTGCATTCACCTGTGTTCCCCTAAGACTGGCAACCGCTGCCTGTTTTAGACTAGAGCCAAGGCTCAGAAAGCAAAACGCTGTGTTTCACACACCCTGTTAGGATTGCTCAGTCCTGTTCCAGCTCTTCTTGGGAGCCGCAGTCCCCTTATCCCAGCTCCCTCCCGGAGGATAACCCTAGGTGGGAACCAGTATGAGCTGCCACCAGGGCTCCAGATCGCTGGTTCCGGACTCTTTCCCAGGGACCTGCATGTAATCCTTGGAGCATCCTCTGCATCGTGGACTAAGAAATTCGTGTTGTCTTTTTTCAAGATCATCTTATCCTTATGCCCAGGTCTCTTGGCAACCCATAGACACCTCTGCCTCCATGTGACCTGTGTGCTACGGAGTGCTAGATGTGACCTAGTTCAGTACCCTGTTTTTAGGCCATAGACCCAAGGCCACACCCAGAAAATGGACTGCAGTGGTACTTGAACCCAGCTCCCTTACTCTCCCGTAGTACTTGCCGCATTGGACAGGCCCTGTCTTTGGTTCTGGAAAGGCGCCTGGCTGCTCCTCCCTGAGGCCTGCAGGCTGCCTGAGGACCGCTCTTCTCCCCGCCTTCCGGCTTCTCTGGGGGAGGGAGCTAGCTCCTTGCCATCTACATATTTTCAGCTGAGTTATATTTTGCATAAATAAACTTAGCAAACAGAGAGAGCTACGCAGAGAGTATATTTGGCTTTGAAGCATCAGCCTGACAGGCGTTTCCTATTCGCTATCTCCGAGCCGCCCAGCTCCCGGCCGACCGGGTTTTGCTTAAGTGGCATAATTCTCCCGCAGCGGAGACAGCTCATTCATTAGTCATTCCAGAAGCCAGATACAAAATAGTCAGTCTTCCCTGAGCCAACTCCACCAACCAGCTCCACAGCCACCCTGCGGGCTGGGCAGTGAGATTGCAACCCGGTGGGTTGGCCTGGCCCAGGTCAGTAGGAGTCACCTGTCTGAGGCTTTCAGGGGACAGCCCACACTACAGTCTTTCCTTCCTTCCGGAATTGGAAGTGCTTGGCTCCTCCTACTAGTAGATGCTCTACCGGCCCATGGGGACGGCGGGGGTGTGGGGGGTGTGGGGGGTGTGGGGGTGTGGGGGCGTGGGGGTGTGGGGGGACACCTTCCCTTCCTGCCACGCTCCTGAGTCATTGCCACACAGTATAGAGCTTCGCTGGAGTTGCTCCTTTGTTTTGCTCCTGTCTTTCTTGCTGGAAGCTAAGTCTCAGAAGAAGCAGTGAAATGTGTTCCTGCCCGAGTCTCTCACCCATCTTGCTCTGCCTTGATTGCCACGTGTGATCCCCTTGAGCCCCTGCACAGAGAGGCCTGAGGTCCCCATTTTGTGGGTGAGAATATTGCAGATAGGAGAAAGTGGTCAGGCAGATGTCACCCAGTCCCACTTCAAGCCTGTCACTCCCAAAACACATCTCTGTCCTCTGCCAGAGAGTCATCTTTTCCTAGTTAGGCAAAAGGAAGCATGCCATCATATTCCAGGCTCCCAGAGCAGGGGCTGCAAAGCCACCAGTCAGAAAGAGGGAGATGAAAGACAGCATCAGCTGAGGGTTAGGTGGGACGGAGCTGGGCCAGACCAGGAGAGGGGAGCAGAGGGATTGCTGTAATACTGTGGTCCAACTTCAGAGTCTGACCCTGCTGCATGCCTGGGTGAGAAGAGTCCATGCCAGTCACAGAGGCAGTGGCCAAGAGTGTGGAGAGGCCCCTGTGCAGACAGAGCTAGCATTGGTGACCCCAGCTGGCAGTCAGTCAGCCTCTCTGGGAGCATCCCTTTGGCCTCAAGAGGACCATCAAGTTCTCAGGTCGGGAAGGGTGGGCAATGAGGAGTGGGGGAAGGGTTATGGAAATTAGATGCAAAGGACACCACGGGACTGCTGGGCCTGAGAACCTCAGATCCGAGCTTGACTGGCGTCCTTGGACTAGCACCTGGCCTTCCTTGGGCAGGTCTCATCCCACCCACCCTGTAACATTGTCTCTCACCGCCCCTCACTCTTTCTCACCATCTCAAGCGATTTATCCGACTTTTATTAATGTCTGTATATGTGCCGGCATGTGTGTGTGTGTGTGCCACATGTGTTCTGGTGCCCACAGAGTTCAGAAGAGGGTAGTGGAGTCCCTGGAGCTGGAGCTAGGAGGTTCTGAGCCACTAACATGGGTGCTGGGGACCAAACCTGGGTCCTCTACAAGTTTAGCAAGTATGTTTAACTGTGAGGTTGGCTTTCCAGCCTGTCAATCTGTTTATTATTACTAAACACACAGAGTTCTTTCTACCAGTTCTCTCTCTGAATCTTCTCTGCATTTACTGCATCTCTTTCATTTTCAGACTTCTCTAGCAAACTCCTATTTACCCCTCAAAACCCACTTCAATGACACTGTATCTGGAAGCCTTCCCTATTTCCTGGGAGCATTTCCCCCTTCTGTATCCCTGATCGACACTCTACAATTCCAGCAAGCCATCAGTCTAGGGTACCATCAAGGATCCTGCTATATTCTGTCTCTGGACTCTTGGGACCTAATGAAAATCTCAGCATAAAGTACCAGATCATGCCAGGCCGTGGTGGCAAATATCTTTAATCCCAGCACTCAGGAGGTGGATCTTTATGAGGTTGAGGCCAGCCTGGGCTACACAGAGAAAAGCCCTGTCTAGATAAAACAACAACAAAAGTCCCAGACCAATGGATAAAGCAGGTGCTGCCTGAACGGCCATGAACGTGAAAGCCTGTGTGGAAGTACGCCTCAGCCTGGAGGGAGAGGCCAGAACCTTGTCTCCCCCTTCATTAGCAATTAGCTGCAGACACCATCGTTATTTCTCACTGAATCAAAATGGACAGAGAGACCCGGGAGACGCCAGAGTCTGCATTGGGGCCTGCACTCTGCCACAGAGTCTCCAGCCTTCATTTTCTTGGGTACAGATGTGAGTCACATTTGATCCCTCCCGGATCCAGTTAAAAGCAAACTCAAGTCACTTTCTGTGACAGCTGAGGGACCACAGCAGAGACCTGGGGGGGGGGGGGGGAGAGGTGTGACTGGTTGACTGGTCGGCACCTAGCACCGACACCCCCCAAAGCCTGCTGGGGGACAGAGCTCCCGTGTTGTGAACTCCCACCCCGTGGTCTGGGTACTTGCACTGCAATCCCCTTTCCTCCCTGAGCCCCAGCTAGGAGGAGCCCTGTCCTCTGCTGTGTCTGCTGGGGCATCTAGTGTTCAGGTGGTGGGGGCTGGGAGCTGGTCCTGTAACACAGAGGATTTTAGGAGCTGAGGGGATAGTGTGAGAGCCACCCTGCCCAGCTTCTACAGCAGTGGTTCTCAGCCTGTGGGTCTTGACCCCTCTGGAGGGGGTCGAATATCAGATACCCTCCCTTTCAGATACTTGCATTATGATTCATAACAGTAGCAAAATCACAGTTAATGAAGTAGCAATGAAATAATTCTATGGCTGGGGGTCACCACAGTGTGAGGAATTGTGTTAAAGGGTCATAGCGTTAGTAAGGTTGAGAACCACTGGTCTAGAGGCTCCTCAGGTCAGGAAGATAGGGCAGGGAAGAGAGGAGCCCACCAGGCCCAGCTTCTTGCTCCCTCCCTGACTCTTTGGAAGGAGTCACCGTTTCCTAGGAGATAGGGCCACAGCCCCCAGTACCTGCTCCGCTCACCTCTTGCCGCTGCTCCTGACTCAGAGGTGGACACCCTGATTGCCTAAATCTGATACCTCCTTGTACTCTTTGGTGGAGGGCCCCCAAGCTGCCACAAAGCTGGGAACCACCAGGCCTTGAAACGGAGGGATCCCGGCAGGCAGGTCCTGACAGGCCTCAGAATGCAGACTGTGAATCACCTGCTGCCTGCTGGACAGAGCAGTAATGACAATAATAACAGAGCCCACTGTCATTACCTCCCACCCTGCCTCCCAGGACCGTATCTCCGTCCATCTCACAGTCCTCAGGGCCAGGGAGGGGCCAAAGGCAGAGATGTTGTCACTCGGTCTTAAGCAGAAGGAAACTAAGTCTAGCATTTCTACTGAACTCAGGAGAGCAGGGCCTTACTTCCTAGTGTCACCCAGATGTCAAGGGAATCCATGGTCCTGAGCAAACCTGAGGGGCGCAAAGCCCCACCTTTCTCCCAGAGCCCTCCTCCCTCAAGGCAGGTGTGGCTGAGGAATCTAAGGTTCAGGCGATGAGGGGGTACAGGACAGGCCACTGAGTCGTTGTGACCATCTTCTCAGTGCTCCTAGGGCAGAGGCTCTGCAGTCTGGGATCCCAGGGCAGGGAGGACGCTCTGGAGCCCAGGATCCCAAGGCCCCATGCCAGCTCTCTTACCCAGCCTGGCCTTCTCCATAGACCGTAACCCGTCCAGTCGAGCTCTCCGCCTCCCGATTGGGGCTCCTCCCCAGCTCCCCGAGGCCAGCTTTCATTTTCCTCTTTGAGAAGCCGTGGAAAAGTCAAGACTCCACACTTTAATTTGGGGGTCTTAGTAATTATCTGGCATCCACCACCCACTCAACTCAACCCACTAGTTATTATAATAACAACAATAATAATTTAGAGACGTGATGGCAATGATCACGCTCTTCCCTGCCCAGTGGGGATGGCCTCACCCATTCTTTCTATACCCAAATTCTGTGGGATTGGATGGGGGAAATGTAGGGCTCTGGTCAGTTCCAGCCAGCATGCCCTATGTCCTCTAAGTGAGCCAGCTCCAAGCCCCCATGCTCCCTTTCTCTTCTTTGCAGAAGGGGCTATACACCCTGAAGATGAGGAGATGGAGGAAGACTAAGAGCTCAAGGCCCAGCTCATACCTAGGGAGATCCTGCCTCAGACACTCAGCCTACCTGATGCTTGTCTTCGCAATTCAAGTCCTACTGGGGGACTTTTCCTTTTGGGAAGTCTGCAGTCAATGTGAGCTCCGCCTGACACATCACGGTGTGCCATGGCAGAGCCTCCCCAGCAATGGTCCTTTGGGTGAGATGACTGGCTGGCTGGGACCTGGCTGGGCTCAGGGCGCAGTGGGTACCTCCTTCAGCCCTTAGCACCAGCAGCTGTGGCTGCTAAGCCCTGCAGCCAGAGAAAGTGGCTCTGCTGTCTGAGCCTAGTAAATGCTTTTACGAGTCCTTTTACTAATTTGGGCTAATATGTGGAGAAGCCAGGAGGACAGTTACAACCAAGGAGAGGCCCAGACCCTGTGTCTCCCTGGAACAAACACAGTCTGCCCTCCGGTGCACTCAGACGGCTCAGAGCTCCAGGGGGAGGGGAGGGGGCGGCCGGCCACCCTGACCGCGGGGAGGGTCACCCCGTGTCTGGGTCAAGCAGCGTCTGTGCCTGTGATTGCTGTAGTTCTGTTTGTTTGTTTGCTGCCTCTGGGCTCTTGACTTTACAGCTAGAGCTGCTGCTGCAGAGCTGGTTAAGAGCAAAGACCTTGTACCATCTGTCTTCAGCCATTTAGATATGCCTATTGGATGTAACAAGCACATTTACAACATGATGTTCCCACAGTGTTCCGACTGCTTCCCAAAGGCTAATTTATTTAATCCTCGTAACAGCTCTATAATTATCCCTACCACTATCGTCCACTAGCGAAATGGAGACCAGAGAGGTTAAGTGACTTGCCCAAGGTCACACAGCTAAAAAGTTAACAAAACCAGGATTAGGACACGGGTTATTCCCCGGAGTTGTGTCCTTTGTCTAAAATTTTGTTTCATTTTTGTATGTGCTCATGTTTGAGTGTGTGTGCTGTTGTGTGCACATGTGTATATTTGTGGAGGCAAAGATTGCCATCCAATGTTTTTCTTAACGACTCTCCACCTTATTATTTTTTTTTGAGATAGGACTTCTCTTGGAAACCAGAGTTTACTGATATGGCTAAGCCAGCTGGCCCTTGAACCCCGGGGACCCACTGTCTCCCTCCTCATTATTGTGCCTAGAATTTTTCTCTTTAATTAAATGTTTTTTATTATTGACATATGGGGGCTAGGGATAAAACCTACTGGGCCACTTCCCTAGCCCTTTATCTGAAACTTAAAACTTGGTCTAAAAACAGCTGGGAAATACTGCCGAAGTCCAGCAGCAGAGTGTTGGGCGCTCCCATGTAGGGAAGATCCAGTTGTGATAGACACCCCTGGATCAGAGTGCTTGAGTTCTCTCTGCACCGCCCCCCACCGGCGCTTGCTTGAATGCCTCCAGTGACGGGGAACTCACTGTTTGAGCCACCAGAGCCCTTTTCTCTACTCCCATGGGGCTGCGTTGTCCTCTAGAGTCAGGCTGCCTTGTCTCCTGTACAGGACAGCCCTTCCAACACTAAAAATGGTGTTCGTGTTCCCTTAAATACTTTCTTTGTTCTTAAATTTGCTTTTAAACCTCCGTGGTTCTTTCATGGCTAACTGCTGTCAGAATTCTAGATGCCCACATGCTCCTGCTCTCTCGCGCACTGTCGGGCCATGCGGATGCCACCATGTTGGGTCCAGCGATGCTAAGAACACTACTGTCTGTTCACCTGCTTCCCATCGCCAGCCTCACTCCCCTGTGACTGCTGAGTGTGTGTCACGCTCCCGGCACACACCGATTCCAGTCCTTGAGTTACATTGTCCAAACACTGAAACCACCCAGCTGTATAGTTAGGGATTTGAGTCCCCTAAGTTCCTATTTGCCGGCAGTAAATTTGATCTTGTTCATTTCAGTTCCTTGTTTCAACTTAAGGATGACTTGAAACCTTACTCTCTGACCCTTCTTAGGGATTCTCTACAAATCAATCCTTTATTTGTTTGTTTGTTTATGTTTGAGACAGGGTTTCTCTACATAGCCTTGGCACTCGCTCTAAAGATGGAGATCTGCCTGCCTCTGCCTCCTGAGTGCAGAGATGAAAGGGATTACCCAAAATCCTCATTTACTTTAGTTTGCCATGCTAGGAATGGGACCTAGAGCCTCAAACGTGGGGCCACACTCCAACCTGTGGCACCTGAAGTTGGATGACGGGGCACCATCTGTGCACCCTTCAAGGTTATCAGTTGTTTTTAAAAGCTTGGCAGCTTTTCCATGGTCAAGTTTGCACAGAAAGATGGGGTAAAGATAAACGTACTCCCAAGGGAACTTTCTCTTGGGATCGATAAGAGCGGGCAACGGCTAGGCTTTCTGGGATGCAAGTGAGTGGGTAACCAGGTGAAGACCCACACAGCGTTACCTGTGTGTCAGAGCTGCGGCCCATGACAAGGCAGGAAGGCAAATACTGATAGTGCTCATGTCACCAGAGCCCATTGTTTTCTGTGCAACCCCTGTGACAATGACCCAGGCTGAAACAGAGAATATCACAAAAAGCAGCAATGCCCATTGTGATGAGGTATCAGGACTCCCAGGGCAGAGCATGGCTGGCTGATCACAGAGCCTTGAGCACCCCCTCCCCCCAGCCAGAAAAAGGCCCCTGGGAGTCGAGAAGGAGAGCAGAGCCAGGGCTGCCTCGGGCCGCGCTGCTGGGAGTTTGGAAACTTTTCTTCCTGAGCCACCTACCCTGCTCTCACTCCTCAAAGACCACTGGCATCTGAAAATCCAAAGAACCAAGCTGAGGCGGGGTCACCAGGCTCACAGCTGGTGGTCTTAGTTTATCTCCCAGGGTCAGTAAATCGGTACCAGTTCCGAGTCTCAATCTCGCTGTTGCTATCACCAAGGCAGCACACAGTGTAGTTTTAGCTACAATCCATGCAAACGCTCCGTCTCTTCACACGCCTGCTCCCAGCCATTCATTCTGTCCGTACCAGTTCTCAGGCCACAGATCCTGATGCTGGGGTACCCGAGGTCCTGGGTGGGATTCAGCTAAGGAGGTCCTGAGTGGGATTCAGCTAAGGGGGTCATTCTTAGATCTGTAAGACAGTTGTGAAACAGGCTGACAGCAGACACCGCATCAAGTAAAGATGAGGCAGAGGACCTGGTACAAAATGGTAGCCCTGGAGCCCTGGGCACTAACTGTCAAACACGAGCTCCCCTGAGCTGCTCTGGGCTCTGCCTGTGGAGATGGTTCCAGCTCTAGGACTCCATGGCTTCACACCCTAGCCTTGAGGCTGTGCACGTCAGAGAGTATCTCAGACCTGTCACACCAAGGCCTGCCTCTTGGTTTTCCAGACTGAACGTAAGACCTCTATTCCCACAAAAGACCTGTGGGGTGTGTGGTCAGAGACGCTTTGCCACTTGGTGGACTTCAGGGTGCTGGTGAGAAGATCTGCACTCAGACAAGCAGGAGACCCACCTTAAAACACTTACCTGTGCCCAGTCAGATTACTTCAGCAGGGGGCTGGAGAGATGAGAGCACCGGCTGTTCTTCCAGAGGTCCTGAGTTCAATTCCCCGCAACCACGTGGTGGCCCACAACCATCTGTAATGAGATCTGGTGCCCTCTTCTAAGCATGCAGGCAGACATGCAGATTGTACACATAATAAATAAATAAATAATAAATCAATAAATAAATCTTTTAAAAAGGTGACATCAGAAGCTGAAGGTGCATGTGCTGCAATTCTGCGACCAGAGTTCCCCCTCAGAGTCTATGCAGAGGTAAAGGAGAGAGCCTGACTCCTGAAGTCGCTCTCAGACCTCCACGCGTGCACTGTGACACTTGTGCCCTCCCTCTCCCCTCCAGACAACAGTAAAATGTAAGACCATGGCACAGACCTCACAGTCCTGTTTATCGTGGGACCCTCGTCTGACTGTCATTACAAGGGCATTGTCTCAGTCCCTGTTCTATTGCTGTGAAACACAGACACCATAAAAAAGGAAAAAAAGCATTTGACTGGGGCTGGGCTACAGTACCAGAGGGTTAGTCCATGACCGTGATAGTGCAAAGCATGGCAGGGGAGCAGCAGGGGAGAGCTGCATCCTGGTCTGTGGGCCGAGAGAGGGGGGGGCTTTTGAAACCTCAAAGCCAACTCCCCAGTGACACACTTCCTCCAACAAGGCCATCCTAGTCCTTCTAATCCTTTCAAACAGTGCCACTCCCGGTGACCAAGCATCCACATATACGAGCCTGTGGGGGCCGTTTCATTCAAGCCACCACAGACATGCAAGTGAAGAGAACCAGGCTTTCGTCTGTCCGTATTAAAGGAGCACATAGAGCCACAGCCGACACTTGCTACTGAGAATTCTACTTTGCAGGCCCCCATATAGGTGGCAGAAATCTAACCTCTGGCCGTCCTTAGCTCGATGGCAAAGGCTGTAGCTCTTGTTTCTATTCTGTCTGTTTGTGCATTTGTTTGTTTGACACGGGGTGTCATGGAGTCCAGGCTTCAACTCTCTATGTAGCTGAGAATGACCTTGAACTACTCTGGATCCCATCTCCACCTCCCAAGTCTGGGCTTACGGGTGTGAGCCACTGAACCCAGCTAGTGTTTCCTTTCTTCAGCAATTTACTACTTGGCATCATCTGATCCATTCGGGTCCGGGCCTGTGGGCTCATGTCGACTATTTTTATTCTGCTTTTTTGAGTCAGGATCTTGTTTTGCTGTTCTGGCGGACGTAAAACTTGCTACACGGAATGTGGTGGGGTATTTGTTTGCACTAACACTCTAAGACTGCTAATAAAGTTTATCCTGAGTTAGGAGGCAGAGTCAGTGATTGGTTGACCAGAATTAGCCATAAAGATGGGGTGGGGGACCCACAGGAAGATGTAGGGAGGGGCTTAGAGAGATTCACAGGCCTTTGATGTGGGAAGCATGGAGAGAGGGCCAGCTGGTCCTTCCTCCGCTGCTCTATGGATCTGTCAGGTTTTTACCCCAATGTCTGACTTGAGAGTTTTTATCAATAATGTAACAAGAAACCAAGCTGGTCTCGAACTTGTGACGATCCTCCTACTTGACTTCTTGAATGCTGAGACTATGAAAGGGCACTAACCACTGCTCCCAATCTTTATGTTAATTTGCAGAGTTGAATTACTTGCCTTATTTTCCTAAATCCTACTAATTTTCACTAAATCAAAGTGAAGGCGAATCCTAGGTTGCTGAGAAAATCCAAGGTGAGTGGGTGTCTGAAATGATTAAGGGTCTGTCTCCATGATGGACTGCAAGTGGAAGGAGTTGGACATTGTCCCCTCTATCCTGGACCCTTGGGTGGAAGGAGGTGGCTATTGCCTCTACTAGCTCAGACACTCGGGTGGAAGAAGGTGGCGTTGCCTTCTCTGTGCTGCCTCAGGAAGCAGAGGCAGATGGGAAGAAAACACGCAGGCCAGCCCTGCCAGAATCTCTCAGAGGAAGGTGTTTTGTCTTCCTGAAATTGAAGGCCCCAACACAGAAGAGAACCGTCCAGCTGCCTGCACTCTGGTGGGAACCTCATAACCCTCCAGAAAGTCTCTGGCCCCTTCCCTTCTTGCTTTGGCTCTGTTTCCTTCTTTGCTGAGGGTCCCATTTGTCAGAGCAGAAGGGAATTACATCAGGCAGTTTTGAGTCAGACAAAACAAAAATAAGTGGACAACTTTCTTGGGGAAAAGCAATGTAGAATTTTTTTTCTTGCCACTCCTGACTTATTAGG